AGTTGATGGGGAGCAAGAGTGAAAGAAGGCATCACCCTCTTGTCCATATTTGTGAAAGTACTGATTGCATCTGGATGGACATAAAATGCTGACCTAGAGTATTTTTGGCCTGATCCTGCTGGCTTGTCTTATATTTTTGGTGGTGGCAGCTTTGAAACGAGCTTGAACACTTCTCTCTCTCAAAAGTTGGCACTATGCAGTTGTTCATTAGACAGGGTAAAGGCTCCCCACTTAAACAACAACAAACCTTTCCTAAATTGGACCCACTTAGGGCATTGTTAAATCAGTCTTGATGAAGCCCTACATGGCATGGGGCCTATCTCCCAAAGCATCTGCCCAGGCAATTCGATCTGGCAGGGTTGGTATGCTCTGGGTTCCTTCAGTGAAGCAGTGCCATCTCTCAGGACCCTAGAAGTGCACCTTCTTGGTCGCAGCCCCTGCTCTCTGGAATGAGGTTCCCCCTGAGATCTGAACATCCCCATCCTGCTGGTGTTTCGAAGGGACCTAAGACCTGGCTCTTCGAAAGAGCCCAGGCCTTTGGTGGGGATGAGTGAAGGCTCCTTTTAACCTGCATTTTCTTGTTTCCACCTGCTTTGTTTTTATTGTCTTGTTTTCATGTTTTAAATCATTTGTCAACTGCCCAGAGTTGCTGGGAGTTGGGCAGCATATAAATTGAAATAATAATAATAATAATAATAATAATAATAATAATAATAATAATAATAATAATAATAATACAAGGAAATCAATGTCTGTGGTGAATTCTGAAAAGCGACATGAATCAGGAGTGACAGCTGTAAACCACAATGTGCCTAAACAACTGAGCTTGCTGGGGCTTGGGACCACAACTGAGGAGCAGCAGCTTTCTTCACCCTCTTCTGTTCAAGCGAGAGGGCAAGGAGCAAGCAGGGTAAGATCAAAAATAAGCCTGCAACCTTCTTTTTATTCTCAGTTGTTCGAGGTTTCAAAGACATTTCCTGGACAGCTCTGAGAGGGTGAGATTCTGGAGTCTGCACCAATTGTGGTTTGACTTGATGCCTGCTTGGCAGTGTAATTCCTTCTCCATCTGTAAATAGATTAAGTACTAAATTGTCTCCAGCACACTGAGATATGCTTTTGAAATTGTAACCCCAGTAGGTGAATTATTTTTAATGCATGGAGACCGTGGTTATTAACCCTGGTCTTACTGAATGCTACACGAGAGTTAATACAGTAGAGAGAAAAAAACCCCTCCCTTAATCTAAAAACAATTGGCCAGGGAAATAAGGTCCCAAGGGAAGAGGAGGAGGAACATTTGCCACTGGAAATATTAAAAATAGTCTTGGATAAATATCTTTTTTGGAAGGGCTGACAATTTTGGTTTAGCATACTAAACAATTGTGTCCAAAGTCACCTCCCTGAGCTATTCATTGCTCTGTGAGCAAAATTTGTTTAGAAAATAAAACAGTGCAGAACACTTTAAAAATATTATAAATAAGCTTCTTTTAATGAAATATCCCAAGGTTAAATTTTTCACATTAAACTACATGTAATAGGCTGGAGAGAGAAAAGGCAAATAACTGCCTCTCTGCTCCTTGGGTCATCTGGTATGTACATTTTATAGCTATGTGTGTATATACATTATGGATACACAGTATGTAAGGGTCAGAAGGGATCTTGGGGATGGTCTTGTCCAACCCCTGCCCAGGGCAGGAATCCACTAGTGAAGTCTCTCTGCCAGATGGCCATCCAACCTCCATTTAAATGTTTCCAGTGGAAGAGCATCAGCCACATCTCAAGGCAGTCTGTTCCATGTTGAACAGCTCTTAGTGTTGGGAATATTTTTTCCAATGTCCAACCAAAATCTGTATCACTATCATTTAATTCCATTGGTTTTTTTGTTTTCTGGAACAGTTTTGAACAGTTTTGCCCTGTCTTCTACATGACAGCCCTTGTGGTAGGTCAGGATAGCTATTAAGTCTCCCAAGCTTAACCCCTGTGCCTCCAAGTGTTCCTCATAAAGTTTTCCTTCCATCCCTTATCATTTGTGTTGCTGCCCTCGGGATATGCTCCAGTTTGTCGATGTTGTTCCTAAAATATCTCCAGAACTGGACACGGTATTCTTGATGTGAGATGAGCAACACAGAACAGAGAAGAATAGGGGAATGGTGATTCCTCTTGATCTTGACACTGTATTTCGGTCGATGCAGCCTAGAACTGCATTTGCTCTTTTTGCAGCGACATCAAATTGTTGGCTCACAGCTTGTGACCCCCTGAGACACCCAGATCCTTGTCATGTGCATTGCTCAATGCGATTCCTACCCTACACACCTGCCTTTCATTTTTCCTACCCAAATGTAAGACTTTGCATTCTCCTTGACTGAAATTCATCTTGTGGGTTCCCGCCTGTTGTTCCAGTACATCAACATTCTCCTAAAGCTTCAAACTGTCCTCTATGGTTTGTTTGCTACCCCCTCATCTTTGTGTCATCTGCAAATGTCAGAATTGTATTTTCTAGCCCATCATCCAAACATTTATAAATAAACTGAACAGCATTGGATCTAGAATGGAGCCCTGCAGTATGCCATTTGAAGTTTCCTTCCAACTTGACATTGGCGTATGAATGGCGTATGAATGCTCAACCAGTTGTCTATCCATATAATGGTAGTTTAATCAAGCCTACATTTTGCCTTTTCCTTCAGCAGGATCTTGTACCAGATTTTGTTGAATGCTTAACTGAAGTCAAGATGCACTGTGTCCACCAGATTCCCATGAACTGATCACTGAATAAAAAAAGAGATACACTCTTGGATGAAAAGGCAGAAAACAATAAACATTATGGCGTCAGTTTTAAAAAACAGAGGGACTTAAAATTTGTTGACTTCAGGAATTTAGACCGGGCTGGGGTCAACATCCTGGAAGGAAATGGCAAACCACCTCTGGACATTGCCGAGAAAACTGCATGGATCTGTTAATGAAGTCACCAGGGCTTGACTTGAAGATGTTATCGTCTCAGAAATATTACTTATCACACAGACATCTGGAGAATGCTGCCTGTGGCTGCAGATGCTTTGTGTATATGGCTCAAATTGCACTTCTTTTTAAAAGCAGTTGAAAATATTCCCACTGAGGCTTGCGGGAGAAAAAAACGGACTGTGTGGAGGGAAAGTAGAAGCTGGGAACAGAAACAGTTGTGGCTTCACCAATAGAGGCTGATCCAATCTATTTTTCTTGCCCCACCCTTTCTCTAGCATCTTTCTCCAGTTCCATCTGGCACAATATTTCTGGTTTTTTGTTTCTTTAAATAAATCATTTAATGTGACTACAATATCTATGTGTGTCCCCAGTGAGCCTTTGTCATGATAGCAGAAGCAAATCTGCAAAAGACATAATGCTTTCATTTTTCCTACCCAAATGTAGGAAATAATAGATGGCATAACGGGTGTAGTTAAAATCTTTAGAATATTTGCTTTAGGAACACAATGTAACCTGTGGATTCAGGCTGCTATCAAACGGTGCATTAACCACAAAGGCTGTACATCTTATGGATCCTAGGATGATGACCTAGGAGACCTAGAATGACTTCTTCAGTGAGGTTAGATATAAGGTGAGAGGGACAATCCAATACTGACCCCCTCCAACATCCCAGGAGTTCCCAAGGTGGGTCCTTTCTAGGGTTGGAACTCTGATGCAAGTGAAACCGAAAGGAGTCATGCTCTTGATGGATCCCAAATCCAATCAGCCCTCTCCCTCTCTGTCTCCCACACCAAACCAGTATGCTGTCTATATTAGCTCTGGAGCTGGTGTGACAGCTAGAGAAAAAATGAAACATGGTCATGCTACTCCTCTCTCAGAACTAACCACCAGAGATTTTGGTGTCCATAACATCTACAGGTAGCCCTCATTTAGTGATCATAGCTGGGACCAGCAACTTGGTTGTTAAGCAAAGCAGTTGCTAAGTGAAACTGTGACTGTGCTTATTATCTTACTTCAGCTTTCCTTTGCCTTATAGACCTGCGAAGGTCGTAAATGCAGGCATTGGTCATAAAGTTACTTTTTCATCACCATTGTAACTGCAGTCAGTCAGTCAACGAGGTAGTCGCTAAACGAGGACTACCTGTAGTTGGATTGCCACTGCCCCTATTAACAGCATTCAAAGGATTCCTGTGACTCAAATACCAAAAGACAACTCAATAATTCAATAATTATACTGTACAGTACTTTGGTAAGGTTTTTTTTTTTAATTGAACGTGGAACAGCTATAGCATACAGATTTATCTTAAATATTTTTTTGAGAGGAAAAACTCCCACTTAACACATGGACAGGAAACTTTGGCTGTGGGCATTCTTGAAATCCTGAGAGCCTATAATGGATCCATTCACAAAATGACTGCCAAGGGAGATGTTTGCTTACTCACAAAATGGCAGCCCACCACAAAACAACCCTGTGCCCAAAGTTGAACTAGGTGAGGATGCTCCCTTTTCCCAGCCCACCAGGATGATCTCTACTCCTGGCTAATTTTTGTCTTTTTTCTAGGAAAGTGGGATATTTTCAAAGAAAGCAGACACTTGCTATTTTTATATGTGAATAAAGTCCACAAGTCCTAGGTGGGCCTCAAAGTCATCCTGGTAAATAGAGATGATATTAAAGGTGATGCTTTACTTTGCAACATACTAGCACCCCCCCTCCCCCCCCCCCCCTCCCCCCCCCGG